ATATTCATCGCTCTAATAAGATCATTAAGTTTGCAGATGACACCACTCTTGTAGGTCTTATCCATAACAACGATGATGCAGCATACAGAAATGAGGTTTGCCATTTATCAGAGTGGTGTGATGATCATAACCTCTCTCTTAACATCAAGAAGACCAAGGAGATGGTTATTGACATCCGAAGGAGTAAGGATGCCCCCTGCCCTCTCTGCATTAAAGGAGCTGAGGTGGAGAGAGTTCCCTCCTTTAAGTTTCTCGGGATTTACATCTCTGAGGATCTGTCATGGACAATCAATACCACTGCCTTGGTCAAAAAAGCACAACAGCGGCTGCACTTCCTGAGGGTCCTGAAGTGGAACAGGCTGCAGACCAACTTCTTGGTGTCTTTTTATCGAGCAGTCATTGAGAGCGTGATGACTTACGCTATCCCTGTGTGGTACGCGGGATGCACATGATAAAAACAGATACCAGAGGGTCATTAGAGTGGCGGAAAAGGTGATTGGATGCACCCTTCCCTCCTTGGACACTATCGCCCTGCAGAGGTGTCTCACTAGAGCAAGGACCATCTCCAGGGACATTTACCACCCAAACCACTACCTTTTTGCCATGCTGCCCTCTGGGAAAAGGTTCAGATCCCTCAGCTGCAGGACCGACAGACTGAGGAAGAGTTTCTTTCCCTGGGCTGTTAGAACCCTGAATGGACAGAAAAATCAACTCTATTGATATTATTTATTGTATTTTGTAATGTTTTTGTTTTTATTGCATGGTGCATATTGTACTTGTTTTAGCTATTTTTCTTAGTATTTTTAGTGGATGCCTAATGTGGAGCTCTAGGAAATTTAGTTGAATGGACCATCATTTAATGACAATAAAGGATATCTATCTATCTATCTATCTATCTATCTATCTATCTATCTATCTATCTATCTATCTATCTATCTATCTATCTATCTATCTATCTATCTATCTATCTATCTATCTATCTATCTATCTATCTATCTATCTATCTATCTATCTATCTATCTATCTATCTATCTATCTATCTATCATCTGTCTATCTATCTATCTATCTATCTATCAAAAGCTGCTAAAGGTTTAAAATATTTTATTTATGTTTAGGTTCAGCATAAACCAGTATGGAGATGGACGAAAAGAAATTCATAAGAAACATGATGTGGTCGGTTGGTAAAGTAAGAAGCTTGTACAGAACCTGTCTGATTTAGTAAACTCAGATTACAGGAAGTTCACCTGGAACATGGAACAAGGTGAAGTACCTCACCAAAGAAACATTGGTGACATTTTACAATAATTGCCCCTTTAATGTTACTTAGTGCATTATTAAGTATTTACAAACAAAGAATCTTGGTAACACTTTATAATAAGGCACGCAAAATTGTGCTTTGTTATTAGGAAACGACTGAGGGGATAATGAGTAATGAATCAGGGAAGAATAGGTAGTTAACCAGTAGTTATTGGTGAAAACACTCATCAGTCTTTTGTCAGGGACTAATAGGTAGTTAATTAATACTTACTGGTAAACATCTAGCAGTCCTGTTCAGAGACTAATATAGTAATCTAATTGTGCTTCGTTACTAGGGAACAACTTAGGGAGTAATGAGTAATGAAGCAGGGAAGAATAGGTAGTGGTAGTGTTTTTACTTGTTCATTTCAAAGTTTATAAATGTAAAAGTTAAGTTTTGAAAAGTTTTTTGTGTACTTTTCTGATTATTTAAAAAAGTACCTTAAACATTGAACATTTTGTTAGTGATTGATTTGAGCCAGGTAACACTGTAACCTGCAGGATTTTGGTCACCCATCTCTGGAATATTACCACACAGAAGATGAAAGAAAAAGATATGTAAATAAGCTCAATGTATTTATGGTAAATGGCCATGTAAAAACATATAAGCAATTGTTAAGTACCTAGTAAGTACAGATTAATTCCTCAGTAGGTTCTTGGGAGGAGGCTTCACTTGCTGTCATCTCAAGATGGACGGATGCCGACAATGGACGATGAAGTGACAGACAAGTGAAATCAAGATGAAACAGGGATGTTAAATCACCGTGAAGTTGCAAATTATCTGCATCCTTCATGAAGTCTACAAAAGAGAGCCTACAGGCACTACATTCATCTGGGATTCATTCCTTATTGCTTTCATAGATAACTACCTATTAGTCCCTGAAAAAGACTGCTGGATGTTTACCAGTAAGTATGGGTTAACTACCTATTCTTCCCTGCTTGATTACTCATTACCCCCAAGTCGTTCCCAAGCAACAAAGCACAATTTTACGTATTTTATTGTAAAGTGTTTCCAGGATCCCCTTATTAATGTTACCAATATTGTTAACTATTATGTGTCCTTAAGTTTAGGACAAGGGGCTGATTTGGGGGGTGGGGGTGTTCTGCGTAGTAATGCATTACTTAATATTAACATTGATGTTAAGCAGTTGTTAATACTTTAATACTTTATTAATGCTTCATAATGCACTAAGTAATGTTAATAAAGGGACCCTTGTTGTAAAGTGTTACCAAACATCATTCAAAATGTTATAGAGTCAGAGAAGACTTAACTATAAAAGTTCATTTTTTTATTTTAATCGTATTTTATTTTTTCACAATCACAGTAAGTTTTTGCAGATTTTACAACATGTTGCATTGATTGTGTTGATCTTGTAAACAAGTGTCTTGCTCTCACATCTTCTTTGTACAAAAATCTAAATGTGTTGTCCCTCTCACAAAAATGTGTCACTCTGCTTTGGAGAGTAGGATGTTCCAAAGCTAGCTTAAAGGTCCATTATTTTCTCCTCTTTACCAGAAGTGAGGCGCATTTTTGCATTTAGACACATAAAACCTTCAGTTGCTCATAGCTCAAGAGTCCTTTAGGCACAACTATTTTACACAGCATATATTTGTTTAAAAAGGTCTGCTTGGATTTAGCAGCTGTGTGATAACCACGGTGTTCCTAATGAGCCACTGACAGCAACTTTAACATTTCTGTTGATCTTTTAATGCATATATTTTTTTGCTTAAAAAATAAGGCAGGAGCATGCTTGCTGAAATTATAATGTAGTTTTGTTGGATTCACTCATGTTTTCTTTAGCAACTCTCCAGTTTCATAACTTCGCTGGTAAAAAAGATTCTCAGAAACATCCTCGCCTCCCCTTTTCCCTCATTGCTGATTTAGGTATGTTTTCTGCTTACTGGGAAATATAGAGTTGTAGCTGGAATGAGTGTTGATGCCACTTCTGCATGAATAATTTACAGGATCTTCTATAAACATAACAAGAGCTGTGCAAGAACTGTTCTTGCACTTCTCTGATCAAACACAAGGTTTGTAGACACTGCATGAAGATTTTACGATTGGTTTTTCATAAAGGAGAATGCAATTGGTGTAAATATGATGTGGAACAGAGAAGTGTATGTGGGGTGATTTGTGGGTGTCTTACAGTTTATTTCTGGCTTTTCTGTGACCCAGAAAGAAGGAAGTCAGGGTAAGAAAAAATATTTTACTTACACATTCTGTTATCATTGTTATGGCCACCAGCCTGGTCACTTTGGATGCAGGAGCCAGGATCACCCAGCCCTGGTGATCAGCCTGACACCTCTCCTCCTCCTCCTCTCTTCCAGGCTGCTGAGGAGCACAGCTGAGATGAATCTCTCTGACGACCCACACCTGGGATAAAAAGGCTGTGCCTTCAGCAGTCTGGGAGGCAGCACACTAGGGGGTTCTGCCGTCTTCCAGGCCTTACGCTCTGTTTTATACCCCTTTTGTGTGTTTTAGAAGATCTATGTGATCTTTTTGGGTTCATTTACTGATTTTAAGGTCAACATTGTAGTTTACCGAGTTTGGGATTTTAAAACACCTTCTGTTTCGGTAAAACTTTTAACAAAGTTTTAACCAGGTGTTTTAATGTTAAGTCGTCCTTTAAATGTTAACCTTGATTTTTGTTAGTCTTGCTGGAGGCTACACTAGGCATTATTTTAATAATGCTCTCCATCTGTTTGTTCGATTGTTTTTAAAACCTTTTATGGCAATTAAACCAACTAAAAATCCACTATCACATTTCTTATGCTACCCCCTCCTTCGCATTTTAACAACACATGGCAGGGACATAACAATCATCAACAGGGTTTTTGTAGTTAGGTTTATGTCTCTTGGGTTGTTGGTTGGTGGAGATTTCTGGAATACAGAAGACAGTGGAGGAAAAGGCTTGATGGTGGTGGTGGTGGTGGGGGGGGATGGGGGGGGGGGGTGTCCAGATGGATTCCAAAGAAGAAGAAAAGATCTTTTCTATAGTGCCACTCAAGATAAAAATCACGAGGTGTTTCACAAAACAAAAAATGTGAAATATAAAAAAGGAGAGAGAGAGAGAGAGAGAGAGAGAGAGAGAGGGGTATCCTGAGGAAGGTGGAATAGAGCAGAACAAGTAGAGGGTAATGAAGATCACACAGAAGCCAGCCTGAACAGGTGAGTTTTCAGCTGCTTTTTAAAGGAGACTACTGAGTCCACTGATCTCAGGCTCAGGTGGAGAGAGTTCCAGAGTCTGGGGGTCACAGCAGCAAATGATCACCTTTGGTCTTTGAGGAAGATGCTACAGCTCTTCCAGGAAATGACTGAGTCAAGAAGTTGTGATGAGAGATGAGAAGTAACTTTTAACATAAAGTCACCAAGTTCAGGAGTTAATCTATGATCAGAGAAACAATGTGGGTTTGTAGTTGCTTAGAATTAAGATCTGTTGACTTGATATGGACCCATGGGGCTTGATTACTACAAGATAACAGCCAATCAAACACAGGAACCAAGGTGCTCTGGATCTTAAATGCGCAGGCGGGTAGCTTAAGGTGTGTTAGCTCACACGAGGAAGGTCCCACCTTCTAGAGAGCTGCTGCAAAGGAAAAAGAGAAACCATCTCAAACAGAAACGCTTCAGGATCATGACAAGTATAGAGTTACACAATTTTACCTCATGAACTTCCTGTCATGCATGTGCAATGCAAAATGTTCCTCCTCCTTGTTTTACAGAGTGTTTCACCCCCTCTGCACAACCGTCACTGACGTTTAAGCTGTGGCTGCTTGGGGGAAGCAGAGCAAAATGATCAGGCAGAGAACGAGGAGAACCCTTGCCCTCTGAAATTATTGTTCTGGTTAATAATTAAGGAACCAACTAATTTGAGAGGACAAAATGAAACTGTAATGGTTCGACTAAACGGCAGAGGCTTTGAGCGGTGATTTCTTTTGTTTGGATTGTGTTTCGGATCTGTCTGGGCTAAAGCTGAAGCATTTGTGGAATGTGTCTAAAACTCTTTTGCCGCGGGACATCTTTCTGCAACAAACAGGACACGCTTCTGGCCAAAAACAGGTGAGATCTTTGTCTGACTAAACTTGTAAACATGAGATATTTGGAGAAGACTCAAGAGTTCAGACTCGGATAGTTAAAGAGTGAGGTAGCAGGGTGTTGGCTCTTTCACACAGATCATTTTATGATCCTTTCTAGCAAACCCATTACACTTGACACTGTATGAGTGGGATATCAGCATAAACATCTTTAGCTCTCCACTTGTGGACTTGTTACCATGCTTCAGAGTACAAGAGAAGGTTCTCTTACGAGTAAAAGTTTGGAAATCTGTTGTTGAAACATGACTTATTTTAAATACCTGCTCGGGCTTATAAAACATAAAACACATTTTCAATTGAAGGAGATGAAACGACACATCCCCAACTCTTCAGAAAACAAGTCTCTAAAGTGCAAATTTGTTCCAAAATGCTAAAAAATAAAGCAAACCTCAAAAGCAAACACATCACTGGCTCTGTTCGATGAGTAAACTAAATTAATTGTGAACCAGTTTAAATTCGACCAAATCTTTAAACTATGTTGAAGGTCAGCTGCACGTGGAAAGGACAGAACAAGTTGTAACAAACAAATATTTTTCCTAGGAAGAAGGGAAATACCCAAATGTGTCAAGTCATAGCATCCAGACAGACAACTACTACAAAATGAAACATCAGCTCTACTGGTAAAAGTTTCCCGTGTTACTATTACTGTGGTTCCCCACTGGGAATATTCAATGAAATCTTCATCAATTTTTTTTTACATGAAAAGAGTTCCTGAAAACCTTTGATATTTGTGTCCCAAGTTAGATATTTTTGAAAGATAGAACAATGCACTACATGTGTCACAGCTTTGTCTCTAGTGGTAGTGATCTCTCACAAGAGACTGAAATCAGAAGGACAGAAATTCCTTTCATTGCAGTTTATTTAAATAGCGCCAAATCAGACTTTAGAAGAACCCTCCAATATCCTGCAGTTGGTCTCAGTCTTGTTCCTCAATGCTCTCACATTCTGCTTCATTATCAGAATAATTACTGTGGTATTACTACACTGACTTGTGCAAATGGAAAAGAAAACATGAAAAAGAAAAAAATATATATAATTTTGTTTATTTTTAATTTTATTGAGTAATTTTATTTTTATTTTTGGGGCAAAATTCCCAAAAGTTTTTACCTCGAGGTTTAATCAGACACCTTGCTTAGAAAATATAAAATAAATATTTGGCAGAATTGATCAGAAATGAACAGAAACTTATTAGGAATCATTATGAAACTGCAAAAACATAACAAACACATCTGCAAATATTCTGAAATATTAAGAAATTAGCTTATCTTGTGATTGAACGGGCCAAATGCCTAGATCAGGGGTGTCAAACTCAAATTTACAATGGGCCAAAATGAAAAAGTGGAACGAAGTTGCGGGCCAAACTCAATATATTTTTAAAAGTGACGGCAAATGTGCACATTTTCCTGTAATTGCAGATATGAATGGTTGAACTTTTTCATTTGGAAACAAACTTATTTTTGCATTAACACTGAATGTGGAATAGCCAAATTACACACACGATTTTAAATAAAGCACACATCAGTGGTATTCGCTACTTATGTCTTAATTTATTTAAATATTTTATTCCTTAAAATCTGTATATATTCAGCATTTCTTCTTATTTTTTATCTTTAGAATCTTGTAAGTGTTTCTATTTTATTCCATCCTTCCTTTCTTTTTAAAACACAGAAAAGGTTTACTTACCTGCAACGTTTCGCTCACGGCTGCAAACTATCAGGCTGACGCCGATGGCGGCATCACTTCCTTCGTTTATCCGCTGGCAGCAGAGGACGTTGTTGCCATCTGCTGCCCGCTCTCCCCTCTCCGATGACGCAGTCCCATGTGCGATCCAACGAGTAAACTCCATCGTCTCTGTTCATGGTCTCACATCCACGTCTCCTTATCTTGATAGCTTCTTTTATCCGTCTTTTGTATTTCTGTTGTTCGGTGTTTTTGATCCTTGTATTGTCCCCTAAATGAAGGAAGTGACGCCACCATCGGCGTCAGCCTGATGATGTTTGCAGCCGCAAACGAAACGTTGCAGGTAAAAACCTTTTCTGTGTTTTAAAAAGTAATGAAAGATGGAATTTGAAACTGAACACAGCAAGAACACACCAACGATGTTTCTATTTTATGTTTTTCTGTTTATTCTTTATTTTTTACTCTCCTTTGTTGCTCCTGTAATGAATTAGCCTAGTGAACTAGACCAAATTCTTGCTTTGCAAAGTTTGGTCTAGGAACGCTCCACTGGAACCTCTGCAGCCCCTAACAGCATTCTAGCTGGCCAGTCACAGCTCTCTAGAGGGGTTTCAAACACATAAAGAGCTGTGATTGGTCCATACTGGTGGGCCAATCATAGTGCTCTATCTGCTTAGTGAACAAATCAGAGCTTTATCGGCTTTGTGGGCCGATCATGGCACTCTACATGCCTGGTGGGTGGGATGATGCAACAGAGTGAAACAAGATGGCGACAGCTCGTTTGAAACGGCTTTTACATCAATTTTGGACTATTAGAAGTTGTTCTTCATTAGAATCAGGAGCAGAGTGATGTATTTAAGTGCTTTTTTTGTAGAAAAAATTATGTGTTTTCTCCTTCTTCAACTGTGGACCAGCTCATTTACTGATAGCTGTTGCGGTGAATATGTCACATTCATTGCCCAGTAGCAGGCGGAGATCATTTGAAAGACAACGGTAGAACCCGCCCCACAACCGAGAGCCGTCAATGGAGCGTTGCCAGACTAAATAATACATTAAGACATTTATTTAGTCTGGCTTGCCAGGCTAGTAATGAATGTTATTGCTGCTGTGACGCCAAGCTTTCCCCACTGACATACAATAAAGGGATTTTCTATTTTATTCCTATTCTATTCTTCTATCTGTAATCTTTCATGTTTTAAAGTAGGTGAAATCTTTTTTCACAGGCCAACAACATAAATAAAAAAATATTAATTCTCTTAAATAAAATGCAATATCTCACCCAGTAACGTTCATGGTTTGGAGCAGAAAAGGTTAATAAAAGCAAAATAATTCAATCCCAGTTTTCTCCACTCTGATTTTCTGTGATGCTCACCTGTTCCAGCAAGACCTGCATCTGTGGGGTTGGGCTCTGAGTTGAGGAAGGAGTTCATCAGTGGGAAACAGTTGCTCAGGTTTGTGCTGCTGGACATGGAGAGCATCTGGACCATACAGTTGTGTCGGGGAGGGGGATCAAAGCCGCAGCAGTCACAGAGTCATACTGACTTGAGCGTGTATCTAAACTGGAGTTAAATCATCTCGGTCTAGAAGTTGGTCGGTGTGCTTCTATGTCAGCAGCAAACAGATTACTGAGCTGTTAAAATCAATTTCAATTCAATTCAAATCAATTCAAAGATACTTTATTAATCCCAGAGGGAAATTAGATTTTCAGTACACCCAAGTCTGAGATCAGACATACATACATACATAGACACATGACAAGAATTGATGACTGTGGTCATTCGCAACTCGAGTCGCACTACCTTAATAGAGATCGGAGGGTTTATATGAGGATTGAGTCAGGTGGAGGAAAAAAAGGCACTTCAGAGTTACCCTCCACCGGGAGGGCAGCTTTGCTATGCAAAAAACACCTCAGACAGAAATGCAACAGACTTCAGACATTACACAACATAAGTGTCCACTAGGTGGGGAGGTAGGGTTGGGGACTGTCCTCACATCAGTGCATGCAGCCGCAATGAGCAGCACTCGTCACCTCTGTTTGGACAGGGGAGGGAGGTAATTGGGTTAGAGAGCACAGTGACTCCTGGAAACGGTTCCACAACCTTCACCGGTCTCAGTCCCGCCCAGGCTGGGATAGGGAGACAGAGTTGCCATGGCGACGGCAGCATTCCACATTTCTTCTGAGGGGGAGTAATCACTTCAGCCTCACAGGCTCAAGGGCACCAGATTCAGATAAGAACTTGTTTTGGGGCCAGTCAGAGATAATTTCCTCTCTGTCTTAAAGTTCTGTTGGTCCTCAACCTCTCTAAATCCAATAATGGCGTAAATTAATCTATCCCAATCCGTGCTGTCCCGTCAACTCTCTCTTTGATCGAATCCACCTTCTGTGCCAGAGCCTAAATCTCAGCCAAAGTTCCAAGCTTATGACTCATCTTGACAATTATATGAGTTTGCGCGGTGTAATCCATCCCTGAGCTCTGGGATTGAGCCAATATTCCTCAAAAGCTCGTTAATTTTCTGGTAAGTCAGGCAACCGCTCAGGCTAAACAGCAAGAAACCTGACACCAACACCACGAATATCCAGACGTCTTCAGAATCCTCTACAGACAGTTGAGAGAGGCAGATTGGTTCCACTGTTTCCAGGAGTCCATGATATGCCCAGCTGGCTCTGTCCCAGAGGGGCACCCGGGAGCCCCTTCTCCCGTTCTCATAGTTGAAAAAAGCTTGTCAATCGCGTTGAGAGACCAACTGACCAGGTCCATTTTTAATAATTTCCAGTTTCCAGAAAAAATGCAGAAGCGCCGTACACCCAAAGACAGACAAAGAGCCTTGGGATAAGATAGAGAGGAGAGGAGGAAAAAAGCGTCTGTACTCTCCAAGAGCCGGAAGAAGAAGATTTCTGGGCTTCAAAGTCAGCTAATTGCTGAGTAAACTCAGTGTTGAGTAAGAGGAGTGTTTTCAGTTTGTCCTAGGCAGAGGAGGTAACGCTGCAGACGCTGATGCTAGTAGCATGGATGCTAATGACTGTAAAGACATATCAGTTTTTCTCCTTGAAGCATCAACATGTTCCATCTTTGTTGAAACACCCTTCCTTCTGCATCAATCTTTCACTTCCTGGACATTTTGGGTAATGTGGGGACAGTTATTTTCACTTGTTGCATTAATTAAACACGAAAGTGGATACACTGCGACCTAGTGGCGAGTCACTGCACTGGGAACACAATCGACAAGCATTATGGGAAATGAGGTTTATAGTCAATGTGCGCTTTGAAGCGGCATAGACTTATTTGAAGACACTTGAATCTCTCACGTGGGCCACATGAAATGATGTGGCGGGCCACATCTGGCCCGCGGGCCTTGTATCTGACGCATGTTGCCTAGATCAATAAAATGCTCAGGCAGTGACAATTTCTTATGTAACTTTGAACATGTAAATTGTCAAAAGACAATCAGAAGTGTGTGGTTTTCAGGAAATGTTTTATTGGTTAAATATTTTCTAAGTTAGAGGTTGTTTTTACGAACATAGAATTAAGTATACCCACACAAACCTATATGCACTCCTGTAAATCCCCATAATAAGTCACTAAACAGGTTCTGAGTCTGGATGTCTTTCCCATTATTGAATTGCCATAATGTTAATTGCATTAGATGTTTCCTGGGCCCATAAACACACTAGGACCCAGCCAAATGGACAGCCAGAGCAGTAAAGATTTTTTTTCTGCTCAAACCTAAAATTCAAACCCTAAAATTTTGCCTTTCAGAAAACAAGGGGACAAACTCTAGCTTTTAGGAGAAAATAAATATCCACCGTTGACGTGCTTCAGGAAACCTGCACCACCAACGGACCAGTGACGCTTTTGATTTTGTTCAAGCAGTAGTTTGGGGGCTTTCCGGTGACATTTGCAGAGCAGAGAATCAGTCAACACAGTAATGCAGAAGATGTGTGTGACGAACAGGTGAAGGCAACATTTATAGAAATTTGAAGAACTGGTTCTTCTGATGCATCGACTAAATCAGGAAGACAAATTATTAATATAATGTGTGAAGTTCAACATTTACCAATCTTCTCAACTTCTAGTCCGCATACCGTAAATCCTCTAATACGGGCCGCTATTCAATTAAAGGCCGGGTCTCCAATTTTGGCCGGTGTCTGAGTCGGCGGAGGTGAATAATGGCCGGTCTCTTATTGTGGCCAGGTGGAATGTGGTAACAAGCAAGTACGGGGGGCGGTTGTGTCATCGTCTCAGTTTTGATTTGCCAGTGATAGACCGCGAGGGTAACTTTAACCGTGCGGAGACGAAGAGGAGGCGAAAATTTGATATCAAGTTCAAAGAGAACGTGCGCTGCAGAACACTGGGGAGCAATAGGGGTTGTATGAACTAGTCGACTTCACTATAGTGACTTTTTATGCCTGTCGTCGACTAGTCGCTGTCACGTGATAATGACCGGCAAGATGCAGCCCTCGGAAAAGACAGCAGCCTGCTGTCAGCAGGTGACAGACTCCTGCGGGGGGGGGGGGGGGGGCAACGCGCTCTGCCAGAGCGTTGGTACTGACACGCGATCGTTCATGTCGGTTCATTTCCTTTAATGTTTTCTGTCTTTTATTTGCGCCTGATGTGTTTCGCTGCTGTGGAGCGGGGTGCATCACCTTGTCCTCCGACGCACTGATCACTGATGCGGCCGCCAAGCAGGGAGCACTCCGCTGTTTTTGTGGTCGGTAGATCTGCCTCCTGAGCACGGCCACAGTAACAATCAGGTGTTGTCAAATTATTTAACACGCAATCGTTCATGTCGGTTCATTTCCTTTGATGTTTTCTGTCTTTTATTTGCGCCTGATGCGTTTCGCTGTGGAGCGGGGCGCATCAACTTGTCCTCCGGTGACGCACTGATCACTGATGCGGCCGGCAAGCAGCGAGCACTCCGCTGTTTTTGCGGTCGGTAGATCTTTTAGAACTGCAGTTCAAATGTAACTCATAAGGTGAATATGAACCCAGGTAGCAGTTTCTCTTTAGGATTGAGAGGAGATGCAGGAAGATAATAAACAGACAGGACAGAAAAATAGTCAAATAAAAACAAGTTAGTTGTTGTACCTGCTGGTTGCAACAAACAGACACCATTGAAGGTAATCAGAAGTGAGGAACAGAAAAGGAAATAATTATTTTAATATTTAGAGCAGCAGGAACACTGAGAGGCTGCAGGCGCATCAGTGAGTTTGCGGCCGCTGCACAGGGGGAGGGGGCTGAAGCAGAAACTACAGTTGTTAAAAGAAATGTGTTTAACTTTGAAAATGTGGGCGCAATTTTAATTGTCAAAAACTCCAGTGAACCATTAGTTCATTTTGCTCAAATAGAAATAGAGGCCTGCCTCTAATTCTGACCCTCCTACCAATAAAGGCCTGGAGCTTGATGAGCTTGAGTCAAATACAGGCCCGGGCCTGTATTAGAGGATTTACGGTAAGCACTTCCATCGCTCTTGGCTGTCACTTTAGAGTAAAGCTGAACTCTGAACTAAACTTGTCAGCATAAATTTAAATATGCAGTGGAATCTGATTGGTTTGTTTTGTCTTATTTCAGAAATATGATGAAGACTGGATTAATTACTGCAGCTCAGAATTCTCAGACAACCATGTAGAGCCAGTTATGTTGTAAACAACAGTGACCTAGAATACTAGAATCAGCTTAGAAAGCTGAATATGCGTAAATATTTTATGTTCAATTGCAACAATCTGTCAGAGACAGTGTTTGCTCTCTGATTATTTGCAGTTTGGGGAAAGAAAGTGGATTGCTGCAATCCAAAAAGATAAATCGATGATTACATTCTTTACCTCTTTCAAATCACAAAAAGAAAGAAATAGTGTTGTTTATGTTATGGTGCATTGATATTTCAGCAGAAATTTGATCTAAGGCGATAGCTGTATTTTCAAAGAACCTCATAATTTTCCTTCTAAAAATGTGAAATAATTAAAAGTAAAAAGATGAACTCATCAAAGGGAAATCTTAATGAAGCTCTGTAGTTTCTGAGACTGGAGTTGTCACATTTCAGTATTCCCCTTTAGTATTGGCCCCACTCAGTCTAGCTGTTAGCCATGTATCCAGTTTGTTTCTCCTAACTGAAGTAATTCTTAGAACTTCCTGCAACAGATAAAAATGTTCTTAAAATTTCCATCAAAACCCACTTCATTAGATGTGAAATGTTTATTGTTTCAGTTTCCATGAAACCATTTGATTTACAAAAGGAAACTTCTCGCACGGCATGTCCAGACAGCACTAGAAACAGTCATTAAAAAACATCTATGATGCTCCTCTTCTGAGATGAAGAAGTCTGCAGAGGTGGGCTGAAAACAGCAGGCTTAGTCATTATTATTAATTAAATGCACACACCACGGTTCTGACTGGCTAACACAACGTGTTCAGCTATGTTGCAAAGTCACTTTCATCAAGACACTCTCTGCTCTCTCTCCTCGCTGCAAAAATAACACCCCAAAACCTACCTATGGGTGGGCATGAGCCAGGATGGGCGAGGCCATGAAGGCAAGTTCACAGTGTGACAGATATGTGAGGATTTTCAAATTCTAGCATTTCACTGTCTGTTTTCTGTCAGAAGCTAATGCAGGAGATTGGTGTGGGAGACTATTTTCATGTTCAGCCTGAATGAAAAACTCAGAGTGACTCAGTGTTTTCCCTGTTCCAACACACCCGATTTCAATCAGCAGGGGATTAACTGGCTTCTGCAGAGCCTGATGAGTTGCTGAACAAGTGAATCCACTGTGAAGGAACAGGGAAACATTAAAAAGATGCAGGATACTGGCCTTTGAGCACTGGAGTTGTCCACCCCTGGCATAGCTCATCTGCACTAGCATGTGTGAATGAATGCATGACTAATTGTGCTGTGAAGCACCTTGGGGGGGGTTTTGGAAAACCCTAAAGCCAGGCGTACACTGTGCGACTTTTTCACTTTTTTGAGCCGATTTTACGCTCGTGCGAGAATCCATGAGATCGGGGCGAGTTTTGCGCCGAGCGTCGTGTAGTGTACAGGGGGTTACGAGAGGCGATTAACACCACATGACCAGCTACCGATCAGCAATCGTGAGCTCGCACAAACTTCTGCCGTGTTTGAAATTTTGCTGGTCCCTCGTGAGGGTATCGCACTGTTGAAGTGGCGCTGCGAGCAGCTGCGACCCAAAAGGTATCAGAACCGCTCACGGCGCATGCGCAATCATGCATCAACATCGCTCGCCCGCTATTTCCCTAATAACACACGTTGTTCGTTTTTGTTTCTACACGTTTTTTACTCACAAAGATTGTCAAGAAAGCGTGTTTGTCGTGTTCATGTCAAATTAAACTGATCACAAAACACAGATTTACTTTCTTTATTTTGTTTTCCTCATCCAACCCCCATAAATCCCTGTGTGTCCTCCTGCAGCACTCCCGAAGGACAATAGGTAAAACAACACAAAAAAGTCTGACGTGTTGTGTAAAAACTATATTTTTAGCATATTTTTAGGTCCGACGTGTTGCTACCAGACGTACAGTGTGAGCAGTCAGGTCACATCCGAGAACTGGGTCGTGCAGTGTGAGCACATGACTCGTGAGATCTGCTCTGCGAGGAAGTCGTACAGTTTGAGCTGAAGCTGAGTGCTACGAGTGAACAAGTCACACAGTGTCCGCCCAGCTTTAGAGGGTGCTATACAAATACAGGCCATTTACCTATTGGTGTTCACTTTAATCTGGTCATAAAGTCTGAAGCCCTGGAATTGTCCTACGAGTGTCACAACAACAAAAAACTCAGCATCAAAAGAATGATCAAGAAGAAAGCCAATGTATTTTTTTATCTTGCAGGTGAACATCTATGACGGAAGCGAACAGAGTACCTGAGGACATGATGAACACCACATCTGTACACCAGAACACCACGCTGGCACAGGCAACCACAAGCCAAGCTGACTGTGTGCAGATTGGACTGAACCCCATCAGCGACTTCCTGATGGGTGTTTACATCCTGGCATTTGTCTTCGGTTTGACTGTCAACATGCTGACTCTGTACCCAATTTTGCATCAAGTAAAGCAGCAAAATATTTTGGGAATCTTCCTGCTCTCACTGTCTGTATCTGATTTGCTTTTCATCTTCACCATGCCCCTTTGGATAAATTATTACAACCAGGACCACAAATGGAACCTTGGTGCCATGTCCTGCAAAGTAGCAGGCTTCTTCTACTACTCCAACATGTATGTTAGCATCTACCTGCTGTGTTGCATCTCAGTGGACCGCTGCCTGGTGGTCTGTTACCCGCTGCGTTTCAAGTCCCACCGTACACATCGCTACGCCTGGGTCCTGTGTGCCATTGTTTATGTGACTGTTATGGTATTGCACGTAATAATTTTAAGCTTCGGCAAAAGTGTTGATGAAACCAGTGGCCGTTGCTATGAGACGTACCCCATGGAGAAAACGGTGGCCATCTTTAATATGGTCAGAGTGGGTTTGGGCTTCATGCTCCCACTCCTGGTGTTAGCGGTAAGCTACTGGAAGGTGCTGGCCACCGTGGGTCGAAGTCCCAGCCTGAAAACACAGGTGAAAAAGAAAGTTCGTCTCCTTTCTTTTGGGGTGATCGGTATCTTCTCCATTTGCTTTGCTCCATATCACATTATCTTGTTTATACGTTCCCTCGTCTTCTTCAGTAATGACAACCATTCGCCTGAAGGGCCGTACTGCAAGTTTGAACAAAATATACACTTCTTCTTCTCAGTCACACTGGCACTTTCTAGTCTGAACAGCATGGTGGACCCGGTGTTGTATGTCCTGGTCAGTAATGGAGTAAAAGATAAAATGAGCAAGTGCTGGGGACGGACTAAACACACAGTTTCAAATGAAAGCTCTCAGGGTGTCTTTAGAAGAGAAAGTCCTAATGACAAAGGTCTGATATGAAAATACATGTGGAATCTTATGTGCATGAGTACATGTTGGGTAATTTTATCAATCCAAGATTACCTTAGGGAAAGTTTAAAGCACAGGGGGTTATAGTAATCAATCGATCAGCACCGATACCAATAATAAACAATCAATTTAGACTTTGCAAAGTGGAGAGGAAACATACACACCAGACAAGGGTTGCAGTTCACTCTCCTCAGACTGACGCCTTCCGAAAGCATTTATTAAGCACACACAAAGATTAACGCACACACATTTTGACATTCCTTAGACTCTCAGGTGGGAAAGCTGTAAAAGGGAGTCTAAACTTTCTCCAGGTGCACATTAAAACAAACAAAGCTATTTCTAGACTTTCTCAAGGGAGTTTTACTGATAAAGGTCGGTTCCAAGGCAAGGTCATCCTCCTCGTAAAACCCACTCCTCCCTGTAAGACCTACTGGAGCCTGGTATCTATCAACAGGATGAACAGGATGAAGCTACGTTTAATAAGACACCAGATGTTTAACAGTCAGGACATTACTATTTGTTCAATAATAATAATATCAGTTTTTATCTAACAGTACATATATCCAGAATTATGTATGTTACTATTGTATTTTACTAATACTCATGTATTTAGCTTGAGAAAGTGCAGAGTTCAGTTATTAGGGGGGCTGGAAACAATCTTCCTCTCACAGTATTTACTTTGTCTTTCTGTGCCAATGAAACTTCTCAAAGATCTCAAAGAACTCTTTTTGTTTCCTTGCCAACCTCTCACTCATGTCCTCATTATCTGACCCATGTGGTCCTCAGTGGAGTCATGGGGAGCTGGTGCCTATTTCCAGCAGTCACCAGGCAAGAGATGAGAGACACCCTGGACAGGTCTCCAGTCCATCACGGGACCAAACAAAGACAAAGAACCAGTCACACACCAAGGGACAGTTTAAAGTTCCCTATGCATGTTTTTGGTCTGTGAGAGGAAACAAGAGCACCCAGAAAAAGCCCTCACATGCATGGGGAAAACATGCAAACTCCGTGCAGAAAGGCCACACCTGAGGCTGTCTAGCTGTGAGTGCTATCGTCAGAGACACTTGGCTTTTTATTGTATAAAACCACAATATGTGTCATGAATGAAACTTACTGTGCAGTAAATTTAAGAGCATGTCATTTTTACGTTCAGTTACAGCACAATCATGTTTAAATGCTAGTGAAACAAACCTGAGCTGAAACAAAATAAAACCGTTTGAAAAGGTGCTGTGATTAGCGGTTGTGTAGTTTGTGCAAATGGTGTCAAAAATTTTTTCACACCATGGTGTGAAAAAGGATAAGTCCATATGGTCAGGCACTTAGCCATCATCTTTGCACGTAAAGGTAATAATGCCTCCAGCACAGCTGTGTGCTGCACATTTGTCAGGTAGGCGAGAAGTGTTGTCAATCCTATCTGAGTGTGAGATCATTTATTACAATAGTTTATAGAAAGACAAAGAATCAACACCGCTCTAATTTTTTTTTCTTTCAGGGACTTTTTACCACCTCACCAATAGAACACTTGGTAGATAACCAGCACAAACCTCACTCAGGCCTGCGTTCAAACCACATGTGAACTTCACTTTCCATGTAAACTGAGGTTTTAAATGCAAATGCTTTGATTTTGTCTGATTGTTACAACACGCCTCCTAAAACTTCCACAGTTTGTTTTACGGAACTTACCTTTTGTATGTGTGAAACTATTATTGTGACTTTTTAAAATAAAAAAAGGAAAAATCGACTGGAACACATGTGGTAACAAAACTGCGAAGAATTAGGCTGAAGGAATAATTAATTCAAATTATTCAATTTAAGTCTAACAAATAATCAATGGTTGTTCAAAATCCAGTTCCAAAAACAAGGAGGCAGGCAGGTAGGAACTTCCTAAAAGTCAAAAACAACTAAGGACAGCAGAAAAAAAGACAAAATTGGTGAGGTATAAAGTGATTTAACAGTAATGATTAGGCTGGAGGAAAACAAGATTCAATCAAAGTTGTGGAAAACTGAAAAAAACATTTTTAATGATTATTCCTGATTATAATCCATCACTCTGAGTTTTTCATGCAGGCTGAGCATGAAAATGTTCTTCTACATCTATCTCCTACATTAGCTTCTGATAGAAAATAGACTGTGAAACTCTAGGATTTAAAAATCCTCACAGGTCTATGTCACAGGTGAATTTGGATTCATGGCCCCACCCATCTTGGCTCATGACGGGGACGGCTGTTGTTGTTTTAGTGATCGGGAATCAGCACTGGACGTCTCAGCTAGTTTAAAGAGCAGGTCAAGTGTGCCTCAGAGTCCTTCTCCACCCACGTATCAATTTTAAAAACTGCAACATTAGTAGGCGTTGCCTGGCGGACCGAGAGTGCGGAGCCGCAGCAGTGACGAAGACGATGGGTAACGAGACGAAGCTAGCTTTTTTTCACTCTGAGCAGTCATTAGAAGTGGAGGACGTTTCTCCCCCTCCTTACCCAGACACTCTAGAAGAAAGGGACCAAGTCTATTTGGAGTAGGCAAGCGGACCTGAGCCTTATTGTTTTGAGCTTGTGAGTTGCCTGAAACTACCGGAACTGACCCAACAGAACCAGCTCTGAATGGTGAGTAGCCGTTAGCCATAGCATTAGATTAGCTGCAGGGTTTGGCTCCACGGCCCTAGAGAGCTAGTATTAGGCATGTTTTAGAGATTTATCTGCTTCAACACACTTGGTTTTAATCAGCAACAAATAGCTGAGCTGCTTAACAGCTAATCTAACCTGTTAAAGCAGGAAAACCACTGAAACTGGATAGCAGCTCTCCAGGAGCCCTGGGCTCAAGTTACAGTCTGCTGCAGAGAAAATTATTCTGTAATGTGTTCATTTATGTTACACAATCCCAAACAGCCCACTAAAACTGCCCTGATTTCATTATTTATTTACTGATACCAGCTGCTCTCTTGGTCGCAGGTGATCCACTGGTGTCTGCAGGTGGTCTCTGCTGGTGTCGTCAGGATCAGGAGCTTCCAGAAGAATGTGCCTTTCAGTTACTCTTTCCCCTTATTTGTTATATTAAATAAATCTCAATTTATATATTTCCTATTTTTGTTCATGTCCATAAATACTTAAACATGCTTGAAATTAAAACGAGCTTTTAACAGTGAGGTGCTAGTTTAATTCATCACAATAGAGCTAGTTAAACATGCACCAATGTGATAATTCAATTAAAGTAATTTCTAAATATCCAATAAAATATAAAAACTGGAATCAAAATGAGACATTTGGCTGCACAAAATCTTGTCAAACACAATTTTTATTTTAATAATTGTGGGCAGACAGGAGACAGCTGATGGAGGTTCTCAGTCATCGAAGGATGGCTGAAGGCTTTCCAGGAACAGGAGATGTGGTGTTGTCTCTTCTCTCTCTATTCTGCCAGATGAGCTGATAGGTTATAGGTGTGTGAGGACATCCTCATGCTGTCATAACCAGATGACAGAGTTATCAGGTGATCAGCCAGGCTAATGATGAGATGCAGAAAGAAAACAAGTCCAGGACAGAGTACAATGATAACACTAATATGTGGTGCTGCTCACCTTATGTGCTCTTATAGAGTATTAACGTGTGCCTGCCTCATGGCGTAGAGTCCATATTTTGCTGAGTGTCCTGCAATAATGCAGGTTATTAGTTAATTTACTTTTGATAGCAAAGAACAAAATATTTAATGTAAAAGTTATTTACCAGGTGAATCAGCTCACACGTCACCACCAAGTGTCACAGGACCAGAATCAGTAGCCTCCTTCATGATGTCATGATGCAATCACATACTTATTTAATTGTTAATATCTTAAAAATTCTGAAATGTTTAAATTTTTTTTACCTTGAACAGTTCACTGAGCTTGCACTGTCACTGAGGTGGAAGCTGGAATCAACAGCAGACGCCTCACATCTTGGTTTTTTCAGGGGTGTGGATGCTGCTCTGGGACTTTCTGGAAGATGAATTTCCGTCATGGTCCCTGTGTCACAAGACACACTGCGGCTGGGAGCTCTAAACTGGGTGGCTATGTAAAAAACAAAGAAGCAGCAGATTTATAAATGTTTAAAAGAGCATAAAATCATGTGTAACAATAATCTGTAAAACAAATTAAAACTAGAAGGTGATAATAAAATGTTTACATAGACGATTATTAAAATAATTCACCGCCTTCTACGCCGGTAAGGCTTCACGTCAGCCTGGACAAGTGCATTCTTGCAGACTACTAAATCAGTCTGACAGCGAATGTCTTGGGTAGATTTAGCCTGAAAAAAATTCAATTCAATTCAATTCAAGTTTATTTATATAGCGCCAAATCACGACAAGAGTCATCTCAAGGCACTTCACATAATAAACATTCCAATTCACAGTTCATTAAGCCAATCAGAAATAATGTTTCCTATATAAGGAACCCAGCAAATTGCATCAAGTCACTGATGAGTGTCAGTGACTATACAGCAATACTCATACTAAGCAAGCATGCAGCGACAGTGGAGAGGAAAACTCCCTTTTAACAGGAAGAAACCTCCAGAGAATCCTGGCTTAGTATAAGCAGCCATCCTCCACGACTCACTGGGGATCGAGAAGACAGAGCAGACACACACACACACACACACACACACACACACACACACACACACACACACACACACACACACACACACACACACACACACACACACACACACACACACACACACACACACACACACACACACACACACACACACACACAATAATGTGTCTATAGTTCTCTTGTGATATCTTAGTAAATACTCTGTTTGGTGAGATCAACTTTATTGTATTTATCCTAGTGGATCTCTAATTAAATGGGTAAACTAGCAGTAACACGTCCAACGTCAAGGAAAGCAAAAAGTTATTATCAGGAGAAGGAGAACGTTTAAGTGGTTAGCAGCAGTGTGCTAGACGATGGCCCCCTCCATGAGGCCACCACAGCTCAGCAGAACATCGTTGTAGCTTCTTCTGGGGAGAAAAACACTTAGAGAGAAAATAAAGTTAACAGCTGAAATTGCAGAAAGTAATACAGTTAAAGAGCAGATAGTAGAAGAAAGCAGTAGAGTGTGGAAAGTGGTCATTGTATCCTCCAGCAGTCTAAGCCTATAGCAGCATAACTACAGAGATAACTCTGGATAATCTATCCTATTTAGATGGAGGCATGTTGGAGTCAGGGCAAGGGAGAGCCGTCTTTACCGACTGTACACTCCACCTCCCTCTACTCCCCCACTTGTCCTGATTTAGGCTAACATCCGATTTTAACCATAGGCCCTATCAAATAAAAATGTTTTAAGCCTATTCTTAAATGTAGACAAAGTGTCTTCCTCACAGACTAAGGCTGGGAGCTGGTTCCACAGGAGAGAAGCCTGATAACTAGAAGATCTGCCTCCCATCCTAATTTTAGATATTCTGGGAACCACCAGTAAACCTGCAGTCTGAGAGTGAAGTGCTCGGTTAGGAACGTATGGAACAATCAGATCACTGATGTATGATGGAGCTTGATTATTAAGAGCTTTATATGTGAGAAGGAGGATCTTAAAATCTATTCTGAATTTAACAGGTAGCCAATGTAGGGAAGCCGATACAGGAGAGATATGATCGCTCTTTTTAATTCTCATCAGAACTCTAGCTGCAGCATTTTGGACAAGCTGAAGACTTTTAACTACATTCTGTGGACTTCCTGAGAGTAATGAATTACAGTAATCGAATAGAATAATAGAAGCACATTGTTGTTGAAGGTTCTAAAGTCAGATAATATACAAAAGAAACTGTCCTATATAGGCGCTTCATAACATTCCTAGTGCGTGGTCGTTATTATAACGTAAAAGTCAGTCACATATGATGTGGAGAGCCTGAAATGTGACCTCCTGAACAGAATTCCTCACAGAACCGGGTCACGCTGTGGTGTAAAGCTGGATTTCACGCTGCAATGCTGTCTGTCAACTAGTGCTGCGTTAGTTAGAGCCACTGTTGCAGAATTACCGACTGACACTAAAACAACCCGAATTTTCTCCGAGCCTGACAGTAATAGTCATGTGGACCATTTCGTCGGCCAGGGCTTCGAGATATGTTCCGATTCGCCGCTGATTCTAACCTTACATCCCGTTCCACATTTTGTGAACTTGACAAATCAGCCCGAAGGCAGTGCAGACTGATATTAGCTAAATGAAGTGAACCACGTCTCTCAAACTTTGCATTTAGGTA